GGATAACCAGCTATCACCATACCAAATCTCATCAAAATCCCTCCAGTGGTTTTTCAGTGATGCAGTAACATACAGACAGACAGACAGACAAAAATTCTAAAAACTATAGATTCGTCCTCTTTATCGATAATAATGTTTATTTCAATAAGATTTTCCAAAAAATATTTAATGTACAGATTCGGCTTAGTTACAATTTTGTTATATGTATAGATTAAAAACAGCATGGAGATTTGTTAATTTCAAACAATCTAGCTATACGGTACATGGCCTTTCTCGACCTGAGATAGGCTCGACCTTCCAATGTCGATTCAATGACGCGGCGTCCTCTGCTATCACGGAAGAGACCTTCCAACCTCTCTTTAACCTTCGCGAGATATGTTTAATATAGAAATGTCCGCGGTTTTGTTCGCTTTCCATTGATTTAAAAACCCTTGATTGAATATCTATACATATAATAAAATTCTAACTAAGCCGAATCTGTAGGTCAATATATAGGACTCGAACGGAGTGAGGGTGAGTCGCTAGTATAAAATAATACACGTATAACATAAAAATAAATATGAGAATTTTTAACATTCAAATTAGTTAACATTATGAATCAAATACGATGAAAAATTATTAAAAGATCGACTGGTTTTTTAGGTTGTATTCAGCCTTTTTAATGTCCCACTGCTGGGGGTGGGCCTCCCTTCAGTACAAGGGGGATCAGGCCATAATCCACCACGCTGACCAAGTGCGGACGGACTGAGCATGTTCTTCTAAAACTTGCTAGGTTTTCTCAGACATGCAGGTGTCCAAACGATGTATTCCATCACCGCAAGATAAGTGGAAATTGTGTTTGTTTGCGCTAAATTTTCAAACCACATATTTGAAAAAATCTTTTTGCCATTTATAGCTTATTTTTTAGGCTAACATCACACTTAATCTGTTCGATGCACAGAATAAACTACAAAAAGGTGTTCTTGATTATTGAAGATATTTAAAAAAAATACCACTACACACCACCATCTAGTTCCATGGTAAGCTACGGAGGCTTGTATTATGGATACCAGATAGTTGATACATTACACATATATAACTTTAAATACATACATATTACAAATATAAATACCCATGATGACTGGAGTACAAACATTCGTGCGCATTACACAAATGAATGCCCGCAGCGGGACTCGAACCCGCGACCGCTGGCACAGCAAGTAGGGTCACTACAAACTGAGCCAAACGTGTCGTCAATATTTACATAGTTTTATAATACTTACACCGCATGACATTAATGTATATCCTACTAATATTATAAATGCGAAAGTTTGTGAGGATGTATGGATGTCCAGAAGTCTGGATATATAGATGTTTGGATTTTTCTTACTCTTTCACACAAAAACTACTGAATGGATTTTAATGAAACTTTACAATAATATAGCTTAACTTTACAATAATACATCAGAATAACACATAGGCTACTTTTTATTCCTGGAAATGTACAGTTCCCACTTCCTGTGGGATAGATTAATTTTTATTTTTATATTAATTAACCCGAGCGAAATGGTGAGCCGCTAGTAGTGTATAAGATAGAAAACTTGCTATTTACCTAGTTTACATAAAGTTATTTTTTCCTTAACAATTTTAGTTAAAACCTTTAATATACAATTATAGTTTGATAATAATTTTTTTTTAAAACCAGACTCTTTATTCACAATATCAATTGAAATAAAAGTCCAGAGAGTCCGGTTTGATTGAATATCGTCTTGAAATATCAATTATATATTGATCTATACTAATACATATTATAAAGAGATAGAGTTTGTTTGTTTGAACACACTAATCTCAAAAACTACTGATTTGAAAATCTTATTTGCATTACATAGTCCGGTTATTGAGGAAGGCTATGGGCCTGAAGCGAAGCAAGGATGAGCCGCTAGTGTATGTATAAAACTACCTGGGTGACTGAGCTTCACTCAATGTTTTTCGGCATAGATATAAAATCTGTGTTTATTCAGAAAAGACCTACAAATATAGATAAAGAGCAAAACCTTATCTAAACACTAAATTTGATCATTGAGCCGTTTCTGAGATACATGAAATTTTATATATACCTATACAAGAATTGCTCATTTAATATTATAAGATTATTATGATTTGTGTGAAATGAAGTAGTTTGGTGACTTTTCAATCAACACCATCTATTGCTTATTTAGATTTAAAATAGCCAAAATGCGGGGTGCCCACTTTTCTCATATGTAATGGGATCATATTAGTATTATATTATGTACTGACCAATCTATTGTGTCTTCTCGATTCTATGTGACATTCGTAAAGTACTTAATCTGTTCTCAAATGGCAAACTTTGAAGCCATTTACAAGAAAATTGAATTGAATAGAATATGTAATATACTATAAGACTACATCAGTTTCCTGTATTATATAACATATATATTTTTTAAATAATTACTATTAAACCACAGTAAGGAAACTCGTTGAATAATCAAAGGAAAACAACACATCTGGGTATTTTGAACAATATTATTCTATTATGTTGTTATATAACAAGGATAATTCATATTTATCATTGAAAATAATTAAAAACAATTGTCTTCAAATTTAAATATTGTATTATTTAAAAGTATTTTTATCTTTTTAACAAGAAAACAAGTAAGCGAGTGAGGCAATGTATTATGTTCTGTTTATGAAGCTAGTGGAAGATATGAATTTTATTGTTAAGGTAAACATCATTAAGATATAAAACATACAAATGAGAGCAGAGAACATTTTAAATATACATTTTAATAATTGATATATCCTTATATAAGATGCTTGTCTCACCAATGCCATATAGTCAAATTCGAGATCTTTTACATATAAATTTTACACACAACAACAAACACAATATTTTTATTTTTGTTATATATAATTTAATATGTCTTACATATAACTTACACTTACATTCCTATAATTTATATATGTACATACGAAAATTTCGTATAGGCACCAAAAATGTTATTTATCAAAGATATTATAAAATATACAATATGTATTATAATACCAATGTATTTCAATCAGGAACAATTAATTCATATCGCGTCCATTGACCGTCAAATTAACGGTATTTAATCGAATTCTTACAAAGGCCCAAAGCCGGTGATATAATGAATGAATAATCAAAATAAATATCAATCAATTCAATACTTAAAAGATAAAGTGATTAACTTATCAACGCTGTATAACCTATAAATATGTAATAAGAAAAAACTTACCAAAAATAATTTGGTCGGTGTATGGTGCAGTATTATTCAATTTAATCTTTCCGAATTAAATTATTATTAAAGTAAATGCGGCACTTTTAAACGCTCGACGAACACGATCTACACAATTTCAGTTTGACATTAGTGTAGCTACACTTTTAAAGCTGTCTGCTCACAAGTATATGACTAATCGGCATTCGGCTTGATTAATAATTAATTGATTTTCTTAATCGTTTTTGGCAAAAAATGAAGGTTTTTGGTGTTTTGAAACATTTTATATATTCCAATTTGTTTTGTAACCTACTGTCATATGTGGGATAAAAAATATTTTATTTTAATAACCTAAAGAATATTTGATGTACAGATTTCGCTTTGTTACTATTTTATTATTTGTATGTAATGAGCTTAAGATTTCTCAATAACGACGTATGAAGAGTATTTATTCAACTGTTTTTAACGAACGTCTTGTTAAATTTAATGCTGAATAAAAATGTTTGATTTTAAATTATTTAAATTTACATCCATTTCTCCTCTTTCCAAAGATATTTCTTTTATTTATTTATTACTCAATTATTTTTCATTGCTTTTCAGTACAGTTTTTTAAAAGTATAAAATATTATATAATATTTAAAATAAATATCATTTATTTGTGTATACTCATCCTTATTTACTAGAAGCGTGTCAATTGTCAAACTAATAAGCGCCATTTTTGTTTGTTTTCGGAAACTTAAATCAACTTAATAAATTAGATAATATAACAATGAATATTTTTATTTAATTATAACACGATTCAATTAAGTTATTAATTTAAAGAACGATAAATATAACATCCTAGCGACCGTCCCTTGTTTCGCTCAGGGTCGTCCCTAGGTACGTTTTAAAGGTTAGTATGGAATAGATAGACTATATTATATTATATGCATAGGCATAAGAAAGGCTATAGAGCCTTCCTTAAAAAATAAGCTATGTAATGCTAAAATAATTTATCGAATTGGATTAGTTGTTACTGAGATTAGCTCGTTCAAACGAACAAACAAACAAAATCTGCCTCCTTAAATTATTTGTATAGGTGATTCAATTCAATTAACAATGGATTCAAATATGGTATATGATATAACTAGCTACTCACCCTCACTTCGCTCGTGTTTGTCCCTTGGACCTAGGGCATATTCTCTTAGGAAATATTCAATAGATAGACTGTATAATATATGTATATACATAGCTAGGATGAGATTTAAATTCCTTACTTTAGAAATAATTAATTCCACAGACAATCTTCCACCACTTTTATTACCCCCGTAAGGCATGATTTCCGGGGTAAAAACTATCCTATGTCCTTCCCAGGATCTCAAACAATCTCCATACCAATTTTTATCTAAATCGGTTCAGCCGTTTAGTCGTGAAAAGTTAAAAAGTAAGCAAAAGAAACAAACGAACAGAGTATATTATATAGTATGGATTTCAATTGAAAATTCAATTCATTTAAATTTTCTTCTTAATGGTTTTTGTTATCTGTAGAGTGACACAATACGTCAAACTTCAAAGTCAAATGTCAACCTTAGAAATGTCAATTTATCCCTATTCCCTTCTCCAAAAGTGCTACCTCGAAGTGTATTTATTTATTGCACTGAAATACAAATATATAAAGAAAAAATAATTTAATCTGTTATTAATTATGTATTAGATTGAATTTAAATAATAATTAAAAGTCATTACCTAAAGAAACACAGGCTTAATAGCGAATATCGTATTGTCAAAATGAATCCAACAAGTGAAATCGAAATCAGCAAATTAGAATTTGATATGAAAACAATGTGCAGAGTTTGCTTGACTCATAATATTGATACGAGTGAACTGTTTATGGATAATGATAATAAATTATTAAATAAAATCCAATTTTGTACTGGAATTCTGGTAATTCTCATGAAAGATTTATAAAAATTAATAATATCATAATATATTGATAATTTATATTTGAAATAATTTATTTGAATTTAATTTACTGTTAATGCTTAAAAATTTACAGTTTAAAGCAATGGAAGGTTATCCAACACAAATATGTAAGATATGTACTGACAATTTATCAATAGCTTATAAATTCAAGAATTTGTGCCTATTATCTGAAGAAATATTCTTGAAATTTATAGAAAATATTAAAATTGAAGCGTCCGATGATGACAGACGTGATGATGCTTATGAAAATAATGAATGTGATACAAATGTGAAATATGAAATTGGCAGTGAAATAATTAAAGGAGATGTAGAACTAGAATCCAATATATTTTTAAGAAAAAGTACTAGATCTGAAATGGCTAAAGAAAGGTAAATTTGCTATTTTCAATCTGCTAAAAGTGATTTTTTCAAAAATTATTATACATTTTTCTTAACAGTAACACTTAATAATAAATTCAAATTTGAAACCATTAAAAAGAAAATTAATTAAATTGATAAATAATAAATATGTTGTGCTATTTAGTTAATTTTTTTTTTTAAATTATAGCAAAGTACCTGAATCCAGCAACATAAAGAAACGTGGGCCTTATAAAAAGAAAAGTGTACCTCGTTTAAGAAAGTATAAGTTTAAAAAACTAACATGTGAATCATGCAATCTAAAATTTCCTTCAAAAAAGCAATCGGATGAACATAGAAAAAAGTTTCACAATGAAAATGTTAGTTGGATATGTGAGGTAAATATGTAAGACATACATATATTTTACTAGTGGCTCACCCATGCTTCGCTCAGGTTCGCCTCTAGAAAACATAAACAAATCTATGTCATGGGAACTGTATATTTTTCCCGGATAAAAAGTAGCCTATGTGCTATTCCAGAAAAATAAAAATAAAATCTATCTCTGTGCCAAATTTCATCTGGATCAGTTCAGCCGTTCTGGTGTGAAAGAGTCACAAACATCTATCTATCCATCCTTACAAATTTTCATATTTATAATAATAGAATGGATTGGCATAATTTTAGTATATTGTGAGTCTAAATATTTAAAACTTATTTGATGAAGTGATGAGTAAAAATTTAATCATGTTGTTCAATGTATTCAGCCCTTTTTAATGTCCCATTGCTGGGCGTGGGCCTCCCTTCAATACAAAACTTATCAGACCATAGTACACCATGCTGGCCAAGTGCAGACTTTACATGTCTTTTGAAAACTTGCTACGTTCTCTCAGACACTAGGTTTCCTCACGATGTTTTCCTTCACTGTAAAACAAGTGGTAATCATGTTGGAAATGATTTGCACATGAAAATATTAGAGATGCGGAAGAAAGGATTTTACACAGTTTATTCATAATCAAATTTGTCTTATTTTTTTTTTGTTTGAAATTAATACCAAAGACTCAGGTTTGATATCTCTTTGTGCCGCATATTTGGACACACGCAAGGGAATCTAAAACCTACAGGCTACTTCCCGACGATCTAGAATCATATAATTTGTTGTAACGACACAACACGTTTGCTTCAGTTTGTAGTGACCTAACTTGCTGTGCCAACAATCGCGGGTTTGAGTCCCGTTGAAGGCATTCGTTTGTGTGATGAGGATGGATGTTTGTATTTCAGTTGTGGTTGGGTGTTTATATTTATGATATGTATGTATTTAAAGTTATATATGTGTAGTGTATCGACTATCTGGTATCCATAACACAAGCCTCATAGCTTACCATGGAATTAGTTGGTGCTGTGAGTTAATGTACCAACAACATTAATATATATATTGTTTTTGTGATTATCATCGTATTTTAATTTTCCTATCTGTTAATTTTAAAAAATAGTTTTTTTTTAGTTAATAAGTAATTATAATAATTACAGATATGTGGCAAGACATTTTTGTACCGTGGTTCACATTATACACATGTACGGTCACACGAGCCCCCTCGATACTCCTGTGCACACTGCGACTACTGCAGTACTATGAAAAGTGACTTAGAGAAACACTTGAGAATACACTTTGGTAAGTGTAATAAATACATAATTATGATTATTTAACTAATATTATAAACGAAAAAGTTTAGATGTTTGAATGTTTGTTACTCATTTACGCCAGAACGGCTGAACATATCTGGATGATATTTGTCGCAGAGATAGATTATAGTCTGGAATAGCGCATAGGCTACTCTTTATCCCGGAAAAAATGAATGGTTCCCGTGGGATAGATTTGTTTTTGTTTTTTACATAATTAAATAGCTATACTACTACCACTATAGAAGAAAAGATTGCTTTTTTTATATGTTTGTTTGTAATGAATTAATAATAATCCGCTGAACCGATTTAGATAAAGTATCAAGATAATTTGAGACCCTGTGAAAGAAATAGGATAGTTTTAAACCGGAAATCGTCCCTTAAGGGGGTGAAAAGGGAGATGAAAGTTTGTATGTTATTTATGTAAATAAATAAATATGTCAGGATATTAACATACAACACTATCTAGTTCCATGGTAAGTTACGAGGCTTGTGTTATGGATACCAGATAGTTGATACACTACACATATATAACTTTAAATACATACATATTATAAATATAAACACCCATGACTGGAGTACAAACATTCGTACTCATCACACAAATGAATGCCCCCAGCGGGACTCGAACCCGCGACCGCTGGCATAGCATACTTGCTATGGTCACTACAAACTGAGCCAAACATGTCGTCAAACTACTACATTATTATATACTACTATACTAGCTCCATTATTAGTTTTTGCATGAAAGAGTAACAAACATCCATACGTCCAGATATCCGTATATCCTTACAAACTTTAAAATTCATAATATTAGTAGGATTCGCTATGAAATATCAATGAACATAAAAATGTTCATAAATTCTGAGTTACCTTTAAAAATCTATATTTTAAGCTGTAACTTTAAGGAAGTAAAAATTTTTACCGCAGCAAGAAAAAAAAAGACCATTTTAATATTTTATTTTAAAAAAGCTTGAGCTACCCATAACGAGACATGACAAAAAATAGTCGGTTTGCTTGCAATCCTAGTATAGATAATTAAATAATTAAATTAAATACATAATTATAAGTATTTTCAGGTATAAAGAAGTATAAATGTTCAAAATGTCCCGCTTCATATCACACGGTATCGAACCTACACGACCATGAACGTCGGTTGCACCAGCGCATGAAACGCTTCCACTGCACCCTATGTGATCTCACTTTCTATGATAAAACAAAACTGAACAGACACATTGACTCCCATAATGCTATTAAACGGTAAGTTTGATATGTATTCAGACCTATTTAAAGTCCCACTGCTGGGCGTGGGCCTCCCTTCAATACGAGGGGGATCAGGCCATAGTCCACCACGCTGGCCAAGTGCGGGCGGACTGAGCATGGCTTTCGAAAACTTGCTAGCTTCTCTCAGATGCAGGTTTTCTCACGATGTTGTCCTTCACTGTAAGACAAATGGTAATCATATTGGAAATGATTCGCACATGAAAATATCACGGGGTGCGAGGCCCGGGATTTGAACCCGCTTCACTCGGTTTCCCAAGCGAGCACGTTACCACTGCCTTAGTTTGATAAAAACATGGAAAAACAATGGTAGTATGAATATTTTAAAATGAACGTCAAAATTATCTAAACATCTATACATATAAATAAAATTGAAGTGTCTGTGTGTAATGTAAAAATAACAGCTTTTTTTAAATGTATATAAAATTATATACTGTATAAGAAAAACACATTTCTTTTTTTAATTTTTGTTTGTTTGTTATGGCTAATCTCCGAAATGGCTGGACCGATTTGATTTACTAAAACTTTCACTTGTAGATAGCTATAAGGATGTTATAAGGAATAACATAGGGTAAAAAAGTAAAACTCACTGTTTTTTAGGCGGAACCATAATTCTTTTTCTGAAATAAAAGTAGCCTAATTTACTCCCTATAACATCAGCTATCTGCCAGTGAAAGTCCCGTCAAAATCTGTCCAGCCGTTTCGGAGTACATAGATCCTCCTTTTTGGAAGTCAGCTAAAAAGGCATAGGGCAGGAGAGTACTAGAAAGCTCTGAAAAAAAAACATATATTTTTTTGAAGTGAACCTTGTATAATAGGCAGGTTTGTTTGGATGGCGAGTAAATTCATGTAAGTCGTCATCGACATGGTCACGTGACGTGTTAACGCTAACACTCGGAGTGCCGATTTATGTCGACACCAGATAAATTTAAACGGTTTTAATTTACAAATTTTAATTTAAGATCAAACAATTAATTTGAATATCCAAATATAACAAGTGTTTGTTTATAGTTTTAAGTTTTTACTTCTGTCGGCAATCCTCATTTTTTATAATTTTTTTTCTAGATTCACTTGTGAAATATGCCATTCAAGTTTCACAAGACGATGTCATTGGAAGAAACATCTTGAAAAACAACATAATATATCCATTCCACCGCAAAGGCCTGGGAGAAGAAAAGCTAATATAATAGATCCCGCTAACAAACATTCCTTTTTGAGTGAAGTCGGTTAAACATTTTAAATGTATCGATCAAAAAAGTACTAGATACACAATCCCATGCAAAAGTTCTCTTATAACTGTCACCAGTTGTGTTTAGGTAATTGTTCTAGTTGATTTAAATATATAACAATGTAAATTGAACCTTAAATACAATACTTAAAGTTGTTTTTACAAAAAAGAAACATGAAATTAAAAGCGCGCTCAAATGTTCAAATGAACGCTCATTCGGTGAGGACATTTTTTGTTGGTTTTCTGATCGATGTTTCAATGATAATTAATTTACTTATAAAATTATACTTAACAATTTTAAGAGTTAAAATTAAATATTCATATAAACCACCAGAGGAGTGGAAGTTTGTTGGAATTATATTTTTTATTTTATACTAGCGACTTATTGTTACTTTACGTTTTATTTTTTTGGGCGGAACCCTTATTCTTGTTCTAAAATAAAACTAGCCTAAGTTACTCGTTATAACATCAGCTATCTGCCAGTGAAAGTCCCGTCTAAATCGGTCCAGGCGTTTCGGAGATTAACCAGAACAGATAGACACAGACAAATTTTAAAAATTAAAATTGTGTTTTTCTTATAAGTACCATAATATATAATTTTGGAAAAACACATTACACTTCTTTGCGTTACACAGTCGGATAAAAATAATCAGGGTCCCGCGAAAAATAATTGAAACCCATAACGCGTACTGAGGGACGCACCCGAGCAAAGCAAGGGTCAGTATATATATATACATATCTTGCTTTATGTATGTATATAAAATTTCTATTATTAATTAAACAAAGTGCACTGTATGGAAATGTCGAAAAAACTTGAAAAAAATATATAACAGAAACCGACTTCCAGGCACTTAAATGTAAAAAATAACTAAACGGAGGTTTTCATTTAGAATAGATACCTAATCAGATATTTTCGAAGTCGGTTCCAGCCGATGCAAAGCAAATCTAATATATTTCGATACGTAAAATACTTATTTACCTATTAGATATTCATATCTTAAAATATTGTAGGCTAAAAAAAAGAAAAAAAAAAAAAGATTCCGACGAATTGAGAATGGAGTGGCAGGCGTGTAAATAGCCGTGCCCTCTTTGCGGTGTGGGAACAAAAATTACGGTCCAGCGCGTGGAGACGCGTGGACCCAACACTGTCCTTAGAATATCTTTAAAAACGTATTTGGCGGTTGATGTAATAGCTTACAACTATGCGGGATAAAAGCAAGTCGCTTACCTGGTGCAGCTCGCTGGTCTTCTTGGTGGCCACCTCACTAGCACTTTACCGTGGATGTGTATGCGTAAGTTAATAATATAATAGGAGTCGGGAGAAGACAAGCACAGGTACAGTTATAGTTATAGTGCCCGCCGTGTCGCGCCAATCAGAATTCGGGCGAGTGGCGCCGCCTGCAGGATTGCGACTGCAACCCGCAAGTCGAACGTTATAGATCATCCTTACCAAAAAACGTTAAAAAAGACAATTCAAGGCTAGTGCTTGCCACACCAGAGAACCTCCCCCTTTTTTTGGGAAGTCGGTTAAAAATAGTAATATAAACAGCAAATCACGCTACCATTTTTGACTTTAACATTTATTTTAGCGGACTCCGTCTATGTAATTGATATTTTTTTAATCTGAGTTGACAGAGAAGTTATCCTTTTTAAAACGTTTAAAATTATTATATAAATATCTTTTGTAAATGTACATAATATATAAAATATTATTTAAATAACTTTTTCAATATACAATGTGATTAAATTTTGTGTTTTTAGTTAATTTTGTCTTCTTCCATAACGACGATGCGAACGATAATGGGTGCGTATAATCTTTACGCGCGGTTGAAGTAAAACTTCTTTGGCAAATATCGCAATTAAATTAAAACAAATCAATAAATAAGGTATATTAGGCATATTACAATCATATATTTATAGAATATCATATACGGAAAGAATATAATATTATATATTTGTCAGGCAATAACGGTTACCATGGTAACAAGGCAATGTATTCTATCTCCTTCTCTCGTCGGCTTAATCCTATATATTTATGTGTTTGTCTCTTTCTCGTGTCGCATTTTCGTTTCATCAAGTTTCAAATAACAACGATTCTAAAAAAGTTTCACTTCAATATTATTGGAATAAATATATTATATCCATATCTTATTATATGCCGTATAAGATACAGAAATTCCAAAGTCACATTAAATTTAAAGTACTGGGCGACCGAGCTTCGCTCGGAGTTTTTGGCCAAAAACACATTAAAAAAAAAACTAAAAATTTGAATAAATACAAAAGAAAACAAAAGTAGAAACTTTGTATCCGACCGGGATATGAACCCAGACACCTGTGGTTGTTAAACTTGCGCCTTAGCCGCTTGACCACGATGTTTATGTCTTAGCGTGCGAATTAGCGACCATATTTTGCGTGGAATAATGCGAAACAAAACCGCATGAAAACTCTAAAACACGCGTTTTCCCAGAAATAAAACTAGTCTAAATCGATTTATCGAAACCCCCTGTGTACTAAATTTCATGAAAATCGTTGGAGCCGTTTCCGAGATTCAGATTATATACATATATATTATTCCTAAGGAGGGTTGACCATGCTGTAGTTATTTTATATAAACCTTAATGGTTTTAAATATTTATCTATACTTATTATAAAAATAAGTCCCCCGGCCGCGTCTTTCTGTCCTCCTGTCTGTCTGTACGCGATAAACTCGAAAACTACTGAACGGATTTTTATACGGTTTTCAACAATAGAAAGAGTAATTCTTGAGGAAGGTTTAGGTATATAATTTATTATGCTTTTATGTAAATTAGCTGAAATACGGCGACAAATGTTGAAGAGGTCGCAAAAAATCTCGCCAAATGGGAACTTTCCACGCGAACGCCGCGTAAACTAGCAAAGATACAGTTAAGTAATGTACTAGAGAATTCAAAATCTATAAAAATGCTACAAAAAAGTCCGCGATAGCATATCTCTATCTCTTACGGTTGACTTACAATAACCACTTTTATGTTAACATTTTTAATTAAAAACATTACGTTATTTTCAAAGTTATTTTCTTTAGTTCGGTATTAATCCTTATCCAAATGAATATTTTAGTTAGCTTAGTCATTTAATGCAGATTAAAATTGCTCTTTACACTAAATCAATCAGATGAATAGTTTTTGAGATATCGTTGTTAGAAGTAATTAGTAGCGAAACATTTTTAATGCTTGGCGAGCATTGAGATGCCTACGGCGAGTCCATCCCCTCTGCCCCGCATCGCTCGACCGCCTGCTCAAGCTATATAAACCGGGCGATGTAGCGCGCGATCCTAGGATACTTTTTACCGCGGGAAAATATCTTATTTCTGAGGAAAAATACAAAAACTGCAATGTAAGAGTATACTAATATGTAACACCTAAGAATTTAGTTTTTGGTCATCTGAACGCGGGCGGAGCCGCGGGCCATGCTAGTATAGTATAAAATGAAGTCGCTTCCGCTGTCTGTTCGCTGAGATCTTTTATACTACTCAACGGATTTTAATGCAGTTTTCAGCAATAGATAGAACGATTCAAGAGAAAGGTTTGTATGTATAATACATGACATATTATAGGACAGAAAAGCCAAGAAATTCAAAGATTTTTTATTTCATACTAATCCTTAAATAATATAATTTAAACAAACAAATAAATAAAAACGTGTGTGTGTATTTATGTACGCATGTAAAAGTTATATTTCAAACAGTAACAGCACTAAAATAGCTAAAGATTTCATCCCGTATGTCACAACTCTTTATTTGTAAAAGGAATGCTAAAATTGTTAAAAAAAAACATCATCATGTCGCCTTTTGGCTGTCGGTGTGCGCGCGCATCTTAACAATATTACAATTATATTTTTTTCCAAACGTGCCAAAAGAAGTATAACTTCAAGAATATAAATGAAAAGTAGGTAACATTTAATTTGATAATAAAGGAAGATACAAACAGCGCCATCTATCGCAGCTAATACACATTACGTTTACATTGTTAAGTAACAACGCCATCTAACGGTAAAATTAAGCAACTATTATAAAATTATAAAATTTGTTTAATCGAATGAACAATAATTTATGTTACAGACGATATTATTTCCGATTATAAATCATCTTTAGAAAACAAATATACGTTTAATTATTACCGTACAAGTCATGTCCGCGTGGAATAGTGGCACGAATGCTAGCCGCATTCCCCCGTTGAATGGCAATGCCGATTCTTTGGGCGTAAACGATCCAGCTCCTGTCACCAGGCGATAGGATGAGGTGTTATGTTCTTTAAGAAGTGTCTTATACATACCTATATTACAGACAGAGCGGTTGCCTCCTCAAACACAAACTTTCACCCCCTTAAGAAAAGATTTTCGAGATAAAAACTATCCTTTGTCCTTCCCAGAGTCTCAAACTATCTTTTTATCAAATTTCATCTAAATCGGTTCAGTAGTTTCGGAGCCTATTCGATACAAACAAAAAAATAGTTTTTTTTCTCTTTATAATATTAGAATCGATGAACAGTTTGTATACTAGTATGAGGAACTAATTCATAATATGAATTAATTTATACAGGTTTTTCTTTCAACACATTAGACGGTAGATGGCGTTGTTAGTGGCCAGAGGTTCTGCCTAGTAAACATAAATTTGGTCAGTTTATAATAAAATCTATTTATTTACCAGCTATCATCATACCAAATTTCATCAAAATCTGTCCAGTGGTTTTCTCGTGATGCGGTAACAGACAGACAGACAAAAATTCTAATAACTATAGGTTCGGACTCTGTATCGATAATAATGTCTATTTCAATAAGATTTTCCAAAAAATATTTAATGTACAGATTCGACTCAGTTACAATTTTATTATATGACGTATAGATTAGTTTTTACATAAACATTTTATTTAAGTTTTGATTTTGTTTATTTAATAGAAAAGAAAAAAAGTGAATATTACAGGAAGTATTAGTACCTATGTGCAGTTAAAGTGAGATAAAAATAT